CAGTTTGTAATTATTTTTCTAGATATGTTATTATTAATATGTAAATTTTATAATAAAAACTTGTAAAATTATTAAACATCTTTATTGATCCAAATTTTTAACATCAATGAGAATAAAGAATAAGAAAGCTAAAAATATAAAAAATAATAATGTGAATTATAAAAAAGCTAAAAAAATATAATTTGATTTAAAGTTCATATATACGTCATAGCCATGATATAAAATATAAATGAAAGTAAATATATATATATTTAAAATTTAAAATTTACAGAAATCAAATACAAATATAAATGTAATTGAATTTTTAGAATTCATAAATTTAATATAATTTAAATTTTTATTTTCAAAAAAATCATTGAATTGATAATAATGATATTTAAAAATAAAAGTAATGATAAACTTATTTGATATATTAGAATAAACATATTTGATTTTGCTCTACACGATTTTTCTACAGTTTAACTTCAATTTACTCTAATTTATATAAACATTTATGTTAAGTTGTTATATTGATATTTTGCAAAACAGTCATACAATATAAATGCCTCAAGATATGAATCAATAAAAGGTTGAAATAAGTTTATTCAAATCTTTTGCATTTGCTTGAGCAACACATCTCTTTGCTCCGAATTGGACCGCTGAAGGAAGCTTTGCTGGTGGAAGAAGCACTGGATGTCAGAATTGAGCATCGTTAATATTGCTCGAGTTGTACATTGGTCGCTACCAACTCTTGTGATTTTTTTGTGGAGTTGTCGTGATTGTGTGTTTTTGAGTTAGTCAGACGGTAAGAAGACAAGAACGATGCGTGTTAAGTGGAACATCTAAGATGTTCCAGACAAGATTGAGGAGTGGTGGCCGCAGCATGACCAGTATGGATGCACTTGTTCCGAGAAAGTCAAGTTTCATCCGGCGAGCACAGACAAGAATTCTGCGACATCTAAATCACGCCTGAAAGGCTTTTGTAGAGGAACGTGGTGGGATGTCAATATCGTTCAACAACGCGATAAGTACTTTCTTGGGAAGTTCCAGTCATCATTGACTAGTGAAGGAGATGCATGGCTTCCATTGAATAACATGAGGCTAAAGAACATGAAGTCTGATGACTAGGACTGCAACCTTCTCAAAAGAGAAATGGATGTCTCCGTCATGTGTACCCATCACAATCAGAAGGAGCTCAAGCTGCATTCCAGGGCTTTATATGATGCGAAGATTGTCCATATCGCAAAAGCTCCTCATAAGTTTGAATGTACTTGCAAATTTCATGTAAGGTTTTACTGTGTAAGTGCGAAAGATCCCATCAGGTTCACTAGGGAAAGTCTTTTGCTCAATTATCCTTTCGCATCTAGTAATGTAACCATTTCAACACTGACTATTCTACAACAGCCACAACAGCCAGGATTGTACCGTTGTACGAGATTTTGAAATTTCACCTATCAAAGAAGTGGATCCAAGCGAGCAGGTGGTCGAACGATGCATTTTTTTCTGAGAGAAACAAAGCTCAATCTTCATGTTTCTTTGGATTGTGGAGAAAATATGTTGTATGATGACGATGAAGATGACGGTCTTGACAAAGCTTTGCTTGCTACTAGTGGCACTAGGGTAGACAAGCCTGAAGCATTCACATATTCCTTCGGAGTGCAACATTCACGAGAGCAAGAGACCTAGAAAAATCCAGTTGACCAGGATAGACCATATGCTAATTTCAGAAAGCACTCCAACCTGCCACAAAAGAATCGTGGGAATCATTTCAAAATCACAGCCGGTGACCTCGGTGTGAAAGATAACTCTGCTTTTGAACGTGATGTTTGCTCGGTGGATGTGCTGCCTAAGAGCCGTGGAGTTAAAACTGTCTTTTGAAAGGAAATTCTGCAAACGGTAAGTCTGGAGTGAAAAAAACAAGGGATGATATTTTACATCTTTTGAAGAATGCTTAGGAAGCTAGTGTCAAGCAAGTTAAGAAAAAGAGTACGAGCCAACCAAACAAAGGGAGAGAACTCTATGAAATAGAAGTTCACCGGAGATATTATGAAAACAGGCAGTCAAGCGAAAGTTCTTATGAGAAAGTAAACTTCGAGGATGAGATGGTTGATATAGGAGATGGAAGCAATGACGAGGGTGACTGAAGTATTCAAGCAACGGCCAAGACAAGTAATGGCATCAATATGCAGAAATCAAGGAGAAGACGTGAAGATGCTTTACAAAACCAGGACTCTACTCCGTTGAAGAAGGTTGATGGCAAGAATCTCCGGACATCAGAGAGAAGTTTACATGATTTCTAGTGATAAAGAACTTCTGTTAGCACAGGAGGAAAATCTCTCAAAGAGTTTTGTGAGGGATAGTTGGATGGATAGATAAGTAGGTAGATAGATAGATTGATAGTGGATATATAGATTTGAGAGAGCGGGGAGGAGCTAGTTTGGTTGACAAATTTGCACGGACAGGGTAGGGGACATTGTAGATCTTGACGGACAGATCTAGGACTGTGCGTTCATGTGGTGAAGAATTAGTGTGGGGTGGTTAGATGGCCGACTGATCCGATGGAGCAGTTCATTGATCTTTTATGTCCCAGCGATGAAACAAGTTTTCAATTTTCAGTAGTGATTTTTGATCAAAGGCGACCTCAGTAGTCTGGTTGAGTTAGTAGATAGATATCGGAGGATATTTTGGCCCAGCGTTGTATACAGCACGAGGTAGTGGAGTAGGCAGTTTTGAAGCATGGGGTTCACGGCAAGGTTGATTTTCGGCTTTGCCTTCGGAGTGACGATGGGTATAGGCCTCGCTTTTGTGATGCAAACAGAGAATTGCCAAGGCTGCGGATGTGAAAATGCTTGGAAAACTTACACAATATGATATAAAAAAATCTTTGTCATGGTAACCGTCCGTTATAGATATCATTTTCACAATTTAAATGGGTTGGATGGCTGAATGAGCATTTGGACAAAGTTTGGTCTTCTGTGGCAAAGGCAGCATGAGCAGTCATCAAGGAATCGGTAGAACCTATCATAGAGAGTTACTGGCCAATTGGTTCAACGCAGTTGAAGTTTAACAAGCTGTTTTGTGAAATGTTGCTCCTCAAATTGAAGATATCAGGATGGAGAGCTTTAGATAGGGCCAAGTCATCATAGACTTGGACTTCCGATGGGGAGGCAATCCAAGCATTGTATTAGATGTGTACACCATGATAGGGGCCGTTTTACCAGTGCAGTTGAAGAACTTCAATTTTTTTGCCACCATCCAAATCGTCTTTGTGTTGTCAGAGGAGATGACTTGTATTTCCGCTATAATGGTTGATCTTTGGCTAAGCCTAAACTTGAGATCAAGTATACATTTAAGGTGATCGGTGGTTCCTTAACAGCCGTTTCCGGTATTTCGGACATGATAAGAGTACTCGTGGTCAACATTGTTACCGATCAATTATAATGGCCGCACCAAAAAATCATCTCACTTTTGGCAGATTTTGGTGTATTAAGTGATTTGGAACAAAAGCTCTAGGGCAAGGTAAACTGCAGAGTTGATGGTAAGAAGGTTCCAATTGCGCTGACCTTGGCAACCGCTTAGATAATCGTTACAGTCACGCCGGAAAGGAGTACATAGTTGTCTAATGATACTTGATGATGAATCTGAAATGCATGCAAAATAGAAATATTCGATTACTTCAGTGGGACAGAGTATCAATCAGTGTTTGAAACAAGACAATCAACTTCCATGTACTGGGTAGTCGGGATGCAATACTTGTACCTAGCATACTCCAGCTGGTGGTGGCTATTCATTGATTGAAAGTTCTTCGAAAGACAAAGACAAAAGCTAAGACGGGAGCCAGCTAACGGACTCAGGGGATGGTGGGCAAGAAGGAGTTTCCAATGGCACTGGTTGCTCAGGAGAGCGAAATCATAAAACGAGGAAGGAAGACATCGATGTTTGTGGATGGGTTTTCAATACTCTGGTGATCGTGAAAGGGGGAGACTTCTATGGGTACAAGAGCTGCAGAGGGAATTTCCGTAGGAAGAGAGAGTGGAATTTCAAAACTGTGAAGAGAGTGATTTTGGAACTGAGAAGAGAGGGATTTTTGGAGTTGAAGAGGGATTTTCGGAAATGAAAAGAGTGGAATTTTGAAACTGAAGAGAGAGAGAGGAGGAAAGAGTGGAACTTTGAAAGTGAGAAGAGAGTAATTTTGTATGTGCTAGAGAGTAGAATTTTGAAGTTGAAGAGAGAAAGAGGAGTAGAGAGTGAAATTTTTTTAAGTAAAAAGAAAATGATTTTGGAAATAACAGATATTGAAATTTTGGGGTTGAGGAGAATGATTTTGAAAATGAAGAGAGTGGAATATTGGATTTAGAGAGAGTGTGATTTTGGATTGAAGAGAGTGGGATTTTGGAGTTGAAGTGATAAAAGATTTAGGAGGTGATAGAGATGGGTATTTTGGAGTTGAAGTGATAAAAAGAAAATGAAGAGAGTGGAATATCGGAGTTAGAGAGAGTGTGGTTTTGGAATTGAAGAGAGCGGGATTTTGGAGTGTACTAAGGGGGGATTTTGAAGCAAATGAAAGAGATATTCAAAAATAAAGAAGAGATTTTTGAAAAAAAATATATTTTTGTAAGGAGAGTGAAATAAATTTGGAAAAAATTGAGTGAATATTGGCATGAACCATATTAGTAAATCCATGATTAACAAGAGTAGAGAGAATGATAACTTAAATATCACTCTAAACTACCCATCGGACTATGATGCTTATGGGGAAATATTAAGCTCACAAACATAAGTACAGATCCGGGTCAAATACTTATGCTTTTCTAGATTAGGAAACCAATACTATGCTATGAAGAATCATCTTTCGCATATTGTTTATGCGAGGGAAACATTGTGATTGACAGCTCCAATACTTTTTTTGTGACCCCTATCGTATATTTAAACTCTTCAAAAGAAGAACGTAAAACAGAAACCTGTTGTTTTGGTACATGAGGAATTCCATGTCAGTTATACCTGATCTCTACTGCAAAGTGCACTCTTAATGGTTGACCTTTATTGTAGTGAATACAATCCAATCGGATCGTCGCTCAAATGCAACGGATAGGTTTGAAAGTGTCTACCTTGAGACCTTAAAATCAATGAGTCATTTATGTATATTGCGCTTTCATTCTCTTCTATGACCCGGTACACAAAGGAATTGATGATAGTTTACATTCTAGGTATTACAAGGCTCATTGCTAGCAATCCTTAGTTTTCGTTGTTAGATCTTGATTCACAGGATATCTCAGGAACTCTTCAAAGCTCGGTATTTTGATTTCTCATAAATGGATGGTGCGCATTCTTATCTTGAGTTTCCAATTTCCAACTGGTCTATCATCTGGACATAACAATGATGAGATCTACTTGTGCTCTTGAAGGGCTTGCCAGGCTGTTGATTTTTTTGCTCATCTCACGTATGTGTTTCTCCTTCCTCACTTACATTGGTGTTGGTTTTCCTGGTGATGAAATCGTCAAATTCATAGAAAAGGTGATCTTTCGACAAAAAAAAGGTTCATTGTTTCCTCACGTGTGCCCCATAACTCGCAGAAATAATGAGGGCTGCCCAATCTATACTTTTGGAGAATAAATTACGAGTACTGTACTATTAGAGATATTTGTTGGACTCATACATCGATATTACACTGAACTCACCTTTCCAACAGCGGGCCTTCCCGCTCCATGTATAAAACTCCTAAGCGGGTCGAATCCGTGGTCCCTGTCACGCTCTTATCTACTCTCCATGTTCTTCCGTCTTCCTTCCCAAGTCGCAAATGTTGCTCCAACATACTAAATTTTCTGTGCCCCTTGCGAGACGCGGTGACCAGATAGAATTCAGAAAACTATGAAGATATCCGGTCGAGGCATCCAAAGAAGAAATGAAATCCGTCGTACATTATTTTTTCAACTGACTAAAAGTAGTGACAAAAACTTTTAAACGTACTACTTTATTATAGACATCGCATATTTTTACTTAGTGATGAGTTATATAATGTTCATTCGAAACTTGGAAGGGTTTCTTGGAGAGCCATTGTCATTGTCCATCATAATACCTCCTGGGTTGTTGGTATTCCTTGTTGACTGCAAGATATTCCAATATTCAGTCCATCTCATATATCTAACATCGTACACCAAGTTATATTATTTTTATTGCATGTATTCATTATCAAATTGTAATTCAAAAGAAATATACTTTTCTATAAACACGATTAGTCTATGAAAGTCAATGTACTTCATACTGTAATGTAATTCGAGGTCTTGGACAAAAGAGGACCGTAGTTGTCCACTCAGAGGTTGCCACAAGTAAGCACATCGAATACTGTATAGTACAAATGCACGTATATTGTATGTCCCTGACCTAAGCTTCTACGAGATCTCTAGAATTGAGTGAGCAATCAACTACACGCGAATCGCAGTTCACGTATGAATATATCAGCAGTTAAAATCTGACGTCTGGATCTGTCATCCACTTCTTTATCTGTCAACTCGATTGGTACTCAAAAGGCCTGGTTCCCACTCATGACGTCCAAACACAAAAACTATAGCTCATACATCTAATGCACCTTCGTTCGGGGCTCAATACACTCCATTCTTGCAATCTTGCTGTAGCTAAGGTCATTAAGTTCGAACCTGTGGACGCCCGCTTCTGTTGAACTACTGGAGAGCAAAAGTAGCAAACGTGATCCGGAAACAAGCCTCTCCACTGACGACGATGTCGAGGTTTTCCATTGAACAAGCACACGCAGGCCATGGGCGATGTGTCAGGAACTGTGTCTTAATCTACGATCGAAAAGAAAGAAACAATTCGCTCAACAAGGAGCCGTCGATTTGAAGTCCTCCGCCCCCGAACCGGCGCATGACAATGTCCGCCATCTAACTGTCACCGGACATTATCTTTTAAATTTGAATCGGAGTCAGATCTGTCATACGTTCGAATTGATTCCATATCTCCGCTCAAAATCTTTAATGGTGGTTGAGATTTATTTTTTACGCTTGCAGCAAAGCGAATAGGGAAGGACTCTGAGAGAGAATGAAAACTTCGAAAACGGGGAGCAGAGAAAGGAATGGTCTGTTCATGTCACTCCATGGACCGCCTTGTCAGAAATCAATGCGACGTAAATGGCGATCAATCTGAATTTCGACTGACTGCTGAGGACTGACAAAGGACTCAGTGAAAGGGACATGACTATAGTACTCACCGTTAATGGAAAGTGTTGAGTGACGGCATTGTGAGTCACTGAGAGCGAGCGAGAGTTCTTGCACTTCGTGCCTTGGGGTGCGACTCCGCTCGCGGGCTGTCACACGCCCTCGCCTTTCGTGGGAATTAGAACCATCTTCGTCAGAGCCTCAGAGCCTCAGAGCCTGGGCATCGATGCTTCGTGCGCTATAGGGCCAAAGCGATGGCACTCCCCGCAAATAATTTCCTTCCCTGTTGGCTCCGCTTCCTCAGGTTCTTTGCCTGCGCCCATCGTTACTCGTTAAAAGCTCGCGGGATTTTCCATTCCATGGAGAATAAAAACATTGCATCCTGAGCATTATTTTGCTTTCTTTGACTAATATCCGCCATCTAGAACGTCTCCTCTTTCGATGAAAAGCACACGTGGAAGACACTCATAACTAACATTGCACCGAAGCTACAAGATCGCTCGAATCTTCAATATTTTAAGCTTTTCCTTACTCTTTGTGACTTTCATATACCTCAAATTCTCGTTCCGTACGTCAATAAATATAAATGCGCTCTTCATTACAATTATATGAATAGTGAAAGACCAAAGTTTTTATTTAATAAGTGTCGTGTAAAATTGGTACCCAGAGTCTTCGACACGGACTGTGCATAAGGAAGATAACCTACGATCACATGTGCCGTTCTTGACATGCATTCCTCCATCAGTCAGATCACGATGTGGTGATAAGCGTCGAAAACCTGTCGTTCATTCTGAAAATGTGTATGATCAGCTGGCAACGATGTCTTCTCTCCGAGTGGACCACATTTGTAGTGGGCAACAGAAGTGGTGGAACGTCCAAAGCGACGAGGAAGTAAGAACCATAACAGATTGTCCGCCTGCTTTGCACAAACGTCACAGATCGTCTTCCTGGAAGAATTGTGGGGACGTGACAGAAGGCTTTGCAGAGGGCAACGCCGTTGGTCGAACTGGGTTCTCTCGTCCTCGTCCGGTGCTCACGGGGCATGGAGCGGAGCCAGCGGACACCGACGTGGACAAGTAGCATAAGATCTCATGAGATGTTCAGGCCTAGCCCCATCCTACGCGGCAGGTTCCATCCCTGTACGACCGGATGGGGTCTTCCCATCCTCCTCGGTTTCGCACAACACGTCACAGTTCAGCGGACAGCTCATGCAATGAGTATGATACTCGCCGCTTACAGGGCGAGCAGTAAGTACACGGACGTGACGTGGACGTAGCTTCCCCGGGCTCTTTTCCATCTCTCCTGCTCTCCGTCCACCTCCCCCACCCACTCCAGCCCCTCTGAGGCTCTCTCAGCTCAGACCTGCCGACCACATTTGAACAATATACCCGGTCTTTGAGATTCCACCGGCACAAACTCGAGATCGTACCGTCAGGCACTCATTGATTTTCGAACGCCTGTGTGGTGATTGCCGGTACCTGCTGCCCTCGCATTCTTCTCTCTTACGACCCACATCGCCCATGGGTTCGAGGTCGAACGCACGGGAGATTCTTCAGCCTCAGATGAACTGTCTTCCATGCAGAGACTCGACTCTCGACTCTTGATCTGGGCCAGAGCTGAAGGTACGGTTGGTCGTACGGGATGACGGCTTCTCGACGGACATTTCTTGCGGTTGAGGTGTACTGCATCTTCCTCAGTTTTCTCTGCTTCTTCATGTATCATGATTTCTGAACCGTCTTTTGGGACAAATATAAATGTGCGAGATTTTGCAGTGCCGCAGAGTGTTGCATCCATCTTCACTCTGGACACCGTCGGTTATACTGGTTCATCGAGCCAAACAGCCTTGCCTTGCTCAAGCCTTGTCAAATTACAGTGGAATGAGCTGGGTTGGCAATTTGTAAATGGCAAATGGCAGACGATCTGATATCAGAATCATCTTGAATTCGCACACATGGAAGCCTCTTGTGCTCGAATTCACTGGATTGACACGCCACACACAAACATCTTCAGCTGGCAAATTCCTCCCACAACCCAAAAACCACGTTCGAAATCGGAAGACGGTCACACTACACTACAGCAGGTTTTTACTTTGAACTTCGCCCCAACTAACATGCCGCAAAGCCCGACGGGCTGTGGAGCCTGAGCGGGCTCGAATAGCCAGATCAAAGTAGCTTCACAATGTATAGCTCCAAGACTTGAGGTGCTGGACAAGAACAGAGCTTGGTAACAACCGCATGAGGGCCTCTTTCGAGATTTGCCACCTTGACTACGTGCAGGTCTTCACAATCTAGGTAAGAATCGTTTCTGGCCCCTCTCTGTCTGTGCAACGTGAAGAGAGGGTGAGGAGCCTGTACTGTACTTTCTTCGGCCATAGATCAGACCACAACACCCACGCCCGGACAGGGTGGAGGGTGGATGGTTCTTCTCCAGAGTGACTTGCGGGTAGACTCATGCTACTCTGGCAATCCGGCCACGAATGTGTCGAAATTAGTGTTATGTCTGTCATGTCATGGCCGAAGAATCAATCGCAGCCTGCTCAGCCTCAACTGATGCAGAATCTTACAAGCAGCAGCTGTCTAAATGCCGTTCCAGATCTTTCAGCCGGTACTGTATGAGCCTGCTGTACATAAGGCGGTTTGACCACATGTACACTCCACCGATCGACCTACTGACTCGGCTCATGGCCTCGCCGATTTATAAAATGTTAGGATCCAGTAAATTTCGGTCGGAGTCGCCCAGTGAACAAGGCCAGTACAATGATTCTCGGTGATTCTCGCTGGTTCCGGGTAACGGTTTCCTTTTCTCAAACTTTTGCCGGGAAAACGGGAAAGTCGATAGATTACAGCTAATTTACTGAGCCATATTACAGGGTTCGAGTCTCTATTAGCTCTAAATATATCTTCCCCGGAAGCATGTATTCCTAGATACAAACAAACAAACAATCAGCCATCGCCGATGGCCCATGGGTGTCACTGAAGGCAGGGTCTCGAGGCTGAAAATATGGCTGATGTAATCAAAAGAAGTTGCCCGGAACAATTATGTTCGTAACATGGCCTTGCCAAGGCAAAAGTAGTTCACTCAGACACTTAAAAACCTCAGCTTCCGACATTGAGAAGGGTGCTTGTGATCAGGTTGCATCAATGGTGTAACTGTCTCCTTGTCAAGGAGCTCAGTAGCAAGCATAAAACACCATCTGACTCATCAAGCTAGATCATAAATTCCTAGGGTATCCTGCATCTTCACCTCGAATGGCACCAGCATTTATCCCAGCACCTTGTGACTAAACTGACCGGAAGGCTCGGAGTGGTCGCTTGAGTCAACGGACTATGACTTCATTGGAGAAGAATCCAAGACATGAGACGTTTTCTTCCCGGGGTTTTGCTTTCTACTACCCTAGATCATTGGCGCGTGGTTGAATATGCAGTCCCCAATATTCCAAGGTTGGAGTCAGGACACAGTTCCTTGGAAAAGAGCCCTTTTACTTTGTTTGGATCCATCTCGGCACTCCAAAGCAACAAAGAAGGGGCCTTTCGATGACAACCTGCACTAGTCGTGAGATGGCTGAAGCCGGAGCTGCTCCATTTCGACCCGTGCTGTAAGTTCAGGTACGTGTTTGCCCGGAGTGAAGAAAGAGCATTCTTTCCAATACGCATCCCATTTACAATTTCCAACATACACACCAGTCCAGTCAAAGGCTGCGCGCAGAAAAAGTACTATAGTTATAAACCCTGCGATATAATTGTGGCGGAATCGTAGTCCGGATTCTAATCTTCAGGCCTTCTGACTAGAAGATAACACAGTACTCTCGCTTTTGGAGATAAAAAGGATAAAAATCGATTAGAAAAATATCCGATCAATCATGAACCTGATTTACACCATGTCATTGCCAGTATGCAGAATTCATTCCAAAAGGCCCAGCCAGAAATTTGTATTGTGTCATCCTAATGTGTCACGGAGGATGGCTGAGAGGGGGCCATAAAATGTTAGAAAATCGACGTGGGGTTGGGGAGTAGCAAAAGCTAGCAAGAGAGTAAGTAGCACAGCCAGCTTGAAATCGTCATGTTATCCAGATTGTATGCAGCGGCACACCAGCGATGTGTGACAGGACAATTAAAAGAAGGGGAACGAGGTAGGTACATGGCAGGGAAAACTGGGTGAGACGTCACTGTCGAGTCTAGTCTAGACGAGTCTAGAGTAGACCGGATGGATGGCAGGGGGTGCATAAAAGGAGGGAAAATCCTTCCATCACCAGGTACCACGCCTGTCAAATTGCTCCCCGGGGACCGGCACGCGGTGGAACCGAGATTCTGCCCACTGCTTCGCCATGCAAGCAACGATCGTGACCGCACCTGTGGCCGGCCCCCTCTCGGTCGTCTCCCGGTCTCGTCCGGTCATGTTCTTCTAGGCTTACCGACTGATCCTGGCAACACACGAAAACCTACATCGTCCTCGCACGGCCACAGTAATATACTGTACTCAGTCCTCACAGTGGAGACAGCAGTCATCGTAGTACTGAGTCCATGGTTCGAGTCCAAAAAGAGGCTCCTGCCACATTACAAATTAAAAATTAAAAGGATTACGTCTTCTCCGTAATACTCTTGGGGGACATATTATGGAGAAAAATCGTCACGTATGGTATCGCTGGGAATATGCTTGAAGCCACCTGGCGACGCTGGCACATTCCGGGCACCTGCTACTGGGATCTCACCGGGATGGAGTCGTCGGAAGGCACTGCTGCCGGCCCGTCGACGCAAGTTTCGCGAAACGGGCTGGACGTCGAGTCCATCGAGGCACGAGGCGTGAAAAGGGGACCGCCTCCGAGCGATCGCCCTCGTCGCTTCTCGCGTCCTGCTGCGCCGTCCCCATCAGAGAACAGAAGAGGGAGAAAAAGTGGACGAGGAGGTGCAGGCGAGGGCCCCGCCCGCCCTGACCCGAACTGGCCTCCTGCTGCTGCACATCGTCGCATCTGACTCTCACTACGTACAGCCTTCTACTGTCCTACCTCGCTCCCTCCCTCAATCCCGCCCGTTATTCCTGCCCGGAGTACCCAAGCAGGAGCCTCGCGCTTCTCACCTGCGCTGCTCTGGGGCGGTCCCGTCCGTGGTCCAAGTTTGTCTTCAGGTCCAGGTACTTCTCGGGGGCAGAAGCGCGGAATCATCATCTATCAACATCTCTCGCTCTCTATCTCGCTCTCACTGCAGTGAATCTTAGTCGTGCTCCCCGTCTTGCTTCGGTCCTTTTGTTGCGGGTCTCGGCATCGGAGGCCCCAAAACTTTGCTCTCGTCGAATCGTTCAGCTCATAATCCAGGGACTGAGGGTGGGAAGAGTGGACGTCGTGTTGGGACGCGAGGCTGTGAGTTCAATAAGTGTCAGGGAGAGACGAAGAAGGTAGAATTGCCGCTGCTGAAGGATTCGGACTGTGCCCCGTGGTATTCTGCTCTAAATTTTGTGTGTGTCTACAGACCGAGGTTGCGGAGTTCTGAGAGGTCGAGTCGGAGTGTTTCGAAGGGGATCGGGATGGAGAAGAGAGTGGGAGAAATGATTGTGTTGAGCGTGCTCTTGATCTTGAGTGGCTCTGCGCAAGCAGCGACCACCGATTGCTCCAGTGCGCTGACGAGCCTGGCCACATGTCTTCCTTATGTCATCGGCTCGGTGAGCTCACCGTCGCAAGATTGCTGCTCTGCTCTTCCGGGCGTCATCAAGGCCACTCCGGTCTGCTTGTGCCAGCTGCTCGGCTACGGCAGTGATCCCAGCACCACCGTGCCCAGCTCCTTCAACCAGACCCTCGCCACGCAGCTCCCCACATTGTGCAACGTATCAGCCAACGAGGATAGATGCCCAGGTTTGCCCGGCGGCCTCTCGTGATACTCCCCAAGCCTTGCACAGCACCTCCTAGCGGCATTTCATGACATTCCTTCCTTTCTCAAATTGCATTGCTTTCTATTCACTTCCTTCTGCTTCGCTGTGCTCTGCATTGCCTGCTTGTTCCTCGTGGCTGTTCCCGAATTCGATTCTCCACTGTTTCGTTCGTTCCTCTCCTCTCAGATACAGCGTCGAGTGCTCTCGCAGCTGTCGACGGTTTCTCTTGTATTTTGCATGAGTACTATAGAGCATATTTTCGAGCTGCCGAATCACGGTATTCGGTTCTCTCCGAACAACCTTTTGACGTGAGGATCTTGCCCTCAAATTCGGCTGGCTGATTTGCGCTCGTAATCTGTCTGTCATGTGCAGCTTTGGTTGCTGGAACTCCCATCGAAGCTCCAGGTAAGAACACGACATGAATGCTTTTCCGTGCTATTGTCTGCATGTGGCCTCCCGGCCGTGAGTTGTAGGTAGACTGACCGACAGACCGCTTTGGGTTCTTCGGAGCAAAGCTCCGTCTCGAGCAAAGTGACGTGCGTTGCTGCATGTGTGAGGCTCACGCGCAACAACTGATTTTGTTGTGTCCGGTACGTGTACTGCAGGAGCCAGCGGACCCGCCCCTCCACCTTCGGCAGGAGGTCCCGGTGGCCCTCCCAGCTCTGCTGCCTCTTTGCTCTCGTCTCTGACCATCGTGCTCGGCTGCGTGGCTGTTGCATTCTTCGCCAGCCCTCTATTATAGGACATTCTTCTATCTCAGCCCAAGAGATCGTCAGTTGAGCCGCCTGGCATTCCGGAGTGATGCAGACAAGTAGCTGCACGGACTCTTCATGCTACAGCAGATGGATTTGCTTCTCATGCTCGACTCGCCACATCCAGGCTGATTTTCATTTTAGGCGTCCGGTGTTCCCGGCACGCACACGATGCAATACGGTTTCATAGGTTGAAGTAGCAGTATCATTTTGGCCAGAAGAAGTAGCTTGGCTGATTTATATTAGTCCCGGCAGATGCTGGGACGTCTCGTTCTCTAGAATCTTAGTAGACTGTACGTGGAAACCAAGGTTTCGAAAAATTCCGAAAAAAATTTCCTCTGCTTCGGTCTTTGACGATTAGTAAAATATATTTTGCACAACAGGTCCACACTCATTTATCTAAATATACTCTCTGTCTCTCACGATACCTCCAGTTCAATGCGCAATCCTTCATCATCTGCTGGCTAGCTTTGTAGGGATATGTTTCCTCGCTCATGATTCTCATGCTACGTCCACCAACCCTCAGGATTGGTTCTTCCTCCCGGATGATCATAAGGTAGAACTTCGAGACATCCATCGTTCGAAGTATTTCCCAGCGGTGGCTGTGCAGTTTCTCGGACGACCATCTGCGTGGTGTAGTAGCATCGGCCTCTACGAATGTCAACGGTTGTTCACAGCAAACAATTCGCAACCTTCGGGCATATTTTGGGACGGGTTCTCCTCACACTTGTCGAGTGCCTTGAACTTTGTCATGGGATCGACAAGTTAAATCTTCTATGAACTCTTTAGCGGTTATCCGTGTGAGAATCTGGGAAGAATCAAGTTTGAACCCAAGCCATTGTGGCGACGTGAAGCTTGGATCTCAGGTGACTGCAGCTGGAGCTATTCCCCGTCGAGGTGGAGTTCTTGAATTTTATTTTATCGCCGTGTCACCCTCACATCACAACACTCGATTTTCGATGAAATCCAATTTGAATCTCCGTCGACGTCTCTGCCGCTCGGGCTGAAGGAACCGACGCGTTGTGGAATATTTCTGTTCGTATTCTGTCATTAAAATTTATTGTCCACTGCATCTAATGCTCCTTTGAACTCACAATTATGTACATCGCCACACCGTTTTCCGCAATGCACAGGAAAAGTTGAGCTGCGGTGATTCAAAATTGGCCCATATTGGCACCAGATGAGTCTTGAATCTTGACCGAGACCCGACATGACGCAGGACGTTGAAATCTTACGTCTCTTGTCAGGGAGAAAACTGACCGGCCTCCAATGTGTCGCGGCTCTGCAGTTTTACGCGGCAAGTACCTTGGACACTGTAATCACTCAGATATGAAATTGGCCCTGAATTTGGTTCTTGTGAAGCTCGTGTAGCCTTTAAGCTAGCAGACACTTAGGCACAAGATTCTACATTTGTCTCCGGCCTGGCGCTTAAGAAAACTAGGTCAAAGGATCACATTTGCACAGAACCTGTCGGTCTCAAAATGGGATCGTCCTATAGCGTGAATACAACGAAAAGCTCTTGAGGTAAGAAGATTGTGTACCACGTCTTCAGTGAAGAATCAGGGTATGAATGTGTCTGATTCGGATATGGTCATCTGCTTTTCGGTGACACTCCGCTTGTGTCACAGGATGGGACTACCTCCGATTCCAATTGCGCTCTGATTTGAAAAGATTGTGTTGAAGTTTGCATGAAGATTGGGTGGACCGTCTGTACTACAATACGTACTCTATGGATGTGATCGGGTTACTACTTAAGACGAATTGCATGATACACAACTGGCGCCCAAGATGTCTGGCTGTGCGGTTACATCCATAGACGAAACTTGCATGAAATAACTATGGCTATCTGAATCATGAACAGATAGCTTGTGCGGTGACACAGCAGTCATGAAGTTGCACTGATGATGAAGATCTATCTGATGAATCATAAGCACGCAGCATATGTGCCTGTCGTTGGTGGCCGAACTTTCTGGCTTACGGAAGCGATGGACAAAAAATATTCTAGCTTATATTTCCGATAGAAAGTATGAAAGAGACTTCGAAGAGTCCGGAGCTTTCATCCGATCCTTGGTGGAAAGAACCTTGAGCAGTGACAACTTTTATGACTGTGAACGTAAAGGGACGAGAAGAACTCATTGCTGCTTATCATCAAACTATGAAGCCGTCTCTCCAAAGGAGAATGTTGCTCTTCTCATGATTTTTAGCTACTTTTCCAGCCGTCACAGCAGTATCATACACCGAAATATATAAATAAAGCTGAACAAAAATCACCAGCCTCCGCTAAACGAGAATTAAGACAGTATTTCGATATGTACCGGTGTCCCACAATATCTTGAAACTAGTGTGGAAATGCTGAACTTTAGTTGCTATCCTCAAATCAGGACCTCACCATATTTATTAACTTGTTTGCAATAGACACGTACTATGACTTGCAATTGTACATAAGCAAAATCATCCGAAAACTTGCCATCTGTTGTCTGGAACTTGGGTTTACACCATAATGAGATGTATTGCACCAGAAAATAGAGCAAAGAAAGCTTCTCCTGTCTCGAGTCAAATTATATTGGTTATGGAAGTTACTTTACCCTCGGCATGAGTTAATGGTGAGATTATTAAGTTTTAACTAAGGTTCGGTTTACCCTGCCAACCATTTTCTTTTACTACTCAGGGGTAAAGACCTAGCTCGCTCACTTCGAACATTCACAGAAAATATTTGTCCGATTGGTGACTCACGTTCCGTGTGAATTAGGTACAAAGAGTTAATTTTTTAAAATGAAAAAATAATAATCATTGGATGTAAACAATACATGATTTTTGCATAAAACATTAAAAATACATAATTGGACATGTTGATATATTGGATTATAAATTGTGCAATGACTATATTGTTGATAATTTAAGCTTTATTTTAATAATAATTTTGTTGAAAATTCATGATACTTTTATATTATAATCGTAAGTTATTGAAATTTTTGTTTAATATAATTAAAAAATTTTCTTATATTTAGAGAAAATTATAAAAACTTAAGACATTTCCATCAAAAATATCAATCTTTCAATAACATGATGAATTATTAAAGAGTGTAGTGATTTTAGTGTATATACACCCAACACACACCCACTCCGAGGTATCAGTGATATACACCCAAGAAATGTCATGCTATACACCCAAGAAATACCACGGAGTGGGTGTGTGTTGGTGTATATACACCAAAATCAATATCACCATAATTAAAACATCACAAGTTTAAAAATTCATATAATTCACATATTTTATAATAAATTTGTTATAACTGATACAATTTTGAAATAATACTTCAAAAAGTGAAAAAAGATTTGATTCTCAACAATGCTAATTATTCAATCGATTGACAAACTTTGATAGAAATTTCTAACACCAACACAAATTTAAAATGTAAAAACACATTTAAAATCTTACTTAAATATTTTTATCAATAGATTATTCTTTCTAATATATAGCTATGAAATAAAAATTATTTTTAATTATTCGATTATTATAAATTATGATATCAGTTTTTTAATTACTAAAAGTTAATCAAAGTATTATATTTAAATAGTATTGATTTAAAAAATATTTTTTACAAAAATAATTCAATATTTTAAAAAATTCAAAAATTCTGATCATGAATTCTAATCATGTTGTTTACATTTATGAATGTCTTAGATAAAAATTTAAATAGTATTATATGTTGATTTATAACTTTGGTAGCCATGATATAATATGCGAAATATATACTAAACTTATCACAATAAATGCATCATTTTTTATTAAATCTTTTAGATATCAATTACTAAAATAAGTATAATAATCAATGCAATTTTTTATGATTCAAATATTACTAGATTGCATTACTAAATCTTTGCCAAAATTTTTGGCCTGTTGCATTGATATTAATCCAATCATGCCTAGTTGTATTTAAAAAATTTATCTTTCATTCAAATTTAAAACAAAAATTTAAAAAATTAGTCTGAATTTTATCTTAAAAAAAATTTCCTTTCTTATAATCTAATCATCATAAAAATAGATTTTATATTTGCTTCAACAAAAAATTTCAATAATAAGATTATGATTATTTTTGAACACTGAGTTATTAATGAAATTTTTTTAGAGAATTAGTTTAATCTTGCATATTTATTGATGTTTATAAGATTTAAATTTTTGATTGTTATTAAAAAAAATCTTACAATATATATCTTTGTTATTTTTATCACAATTATCTCATCAATTTTTTTAATTTCATTTTTTCTAAATGTTGTTTATATTTCAATCATCAAAATAAAAAATGATAAAATTAAATGTGTTGATTGTAAATAATGTAATCGTTGCAAACATAAATAAATTTAAACTTCCACAGTCAGACTAACATATTGTCATGGGAAAAATAGCTTTGGCAATTTGTTTGTAGATATGTGGTTGAAAAATAACGGTCATCATTCTTGTAATCTACATCAAATTTTGAAATTTCTTTGTAGAGAGTCCGGTAATAGATCTTGCTTTGTTGTGATGGGAGCAACTATCACCACATAGAAATGAGGGGACTGCCTAGAGATGATGATGATGAGTTGAGCGGATTTATAGCAAAAATCCGCTGTGTGTTTGATATCGTATTAAGTAACAAACACAAGTTGATAATAATTGTATGCGCATTTGGAGCATATCAAGTGAGTTTACATATGCGGTTCACTTGTGCATGATGTATTTTTGCTTCAAATCAATCCAAACCTAAATGTGAATGCAATACCTTATCTTCCTTAATGTTTTACTTTTGCAATCGATCCATGTTTGAAACTGCTTTTATTTATTTGAAGTCTTGGTTATGTTTGATTGTATCATGAAATTAGTGGAGAAGAGCAACCTCTAGAGTATGTGAAGGGACTTCAAGAAAACATGCATTGAATTGTGTTACTCCAAAAGATTTAAAATATAATTTTTTTTATATAAATTGATATCAATGTTGTTCAAAAAATTACTGTCTGATATTTTTGATGAATTTTATGTACAATTCTTTTTTCCTTCTTGTTTGCTATTTAAAATATTTCAAAAAATTATGAAAAAGCAAAAAAATTAATGATTGTGAAAACATATCTACATTTCAATCATATGAAAGAAAATGCTAACAAATATTGGACTAGATTAGTGTTATTTTTTATCAAAAATATTGCATGGTGTAGTTTCTGTAATGTGAAACGATCTAAAAGAATTGAATAAGGAGAAAAAATTAGAAAAATAATTAAAAAAAAATATTGTTTATTTTTTTCCATAAAAAATTCAGGATTCATAATAAAAAAACAATGTTAATGCATAGGTGAAATCGATCACGACTGTTAGATCTACTGAACAATTTAGGTTTGATATGAAACTTTCTTATGTAGTCATAAAATAACGTTAAACTCAACTTTTCATTTATCAAGTTTACAGTTTTCTAAAATCATGAGATTACAATTTTCTTAGGTAGAGAAACAGTTGAAAAATAGATCTCAGAATATTATTGCCATCGTTATTGCAGTATGCTAAGTGCATAAAATTTGGAAAAATGTGAACTTCTACTATAAAATCATGTGAATTTTGAGTTGCAATTGGAATAATAATGTAATTTCATGATTCTCGAAGTTGAATGTATTGCATAAATGAATTTTGAAGAATGAATGCATTGTTTACTGTCACAATGAGTTTGAGTTTCGAGAATTTCACAATGATCTTTTTATCGCGATTGCACAAAGATAACAAAACAAACTTAAATTTGCTATATTTATTCTTATAATGTTGTGTGTTGAAAGCTAACTTCAAAATCACTACAATTGCGTATACATTTGTGTAAGCATGTTTGGTGCAACAACATTTGATATCATGTTTCTATTGTTCAGTATATAGAAAGAAACAACGAGTTCAGCAATAAACTCAAGGAATCTTGAGTTTCAACTTCATCGTTGAAGATGTCAACAAGATACATTAAGTTGTATATCACGATAGTTGTACAAAGCACCGAGCAAGCACCAAGCAATCGTTTCTAACAGATTCGGGACACCTGCGTACTCCAAAGTGTCATTTGCCATACTAATTTCGATCATCAGACCTCAGAACCGTTGATGGAAAGTTTTGAACATTTGCAACATATCGCAAAATCTTCAATGCAGTTGAAATGCAAATCATTTACAGTATTGTTGAAACTCCTCTAAAACTCAGTTCCTATTTCTATGTAATCCTAAACTCTAAACACTTAACAAAAAGTGAAATTCAGACAAAATGCTCATGTACGTATTCATTGCTCATGTAACTACTTACATTGCTGTCAATGGAAATTCAGCTTTTTTGACACGAGTACAAATATGTACAAATGTACCAACAAACAATTCATCTCATCGTTTTTAGAGAGGAAAACATCTAGATCATATGATTGCATTATCATCAGAGGGCTGTGGAGGGTGCTTCCGTTGAGAAATTTAGCATATAACGCACTAGGTCAAGCTGGATTTACTCGAATCCAGCAGAGTGTGTGCATCATGTAGAAAATTCAAAAGGAGTATCCGAGGTAAAATTTATTGTTTGATAGAAAATGAAGCCCAACATTTGATACTTTTCTTCCTGGAAAATATCATTTCATGTTAGACGGAATAAATTCAGTAGCTATCATCCCTCACATGCACCCAGTATCGACATCAACGGTTCACTGAATTGCTGACTGTAGTTCACAATAATTATTACTTTTCTACCTATTTAGATTACCATCCCACTAAACATATTGCACTGCTTATTACATTTATGCCGGCGAATGCTGTCGCACTCTTTGTTTGAAACTAATTGAAGTTTGCCCTGATCAGGTCTAGAGATATAGACTAAGCATTCGATCTGCACCCTTCGGCACGACTGGGAGCTGAATAATGTGGATGCTGTATGCCGTGAACGACCAGAAACAACCCTGGAACACATCTTGTAGTGGGCATATATCAGCACATGATGAAAATCTGCAAAATGATGGCACTTGCATTCTGGAGCCCCTCCATCGAAACTTCAGATGTTTGAGACGGCGTGCATTCCTCTACTCGAAGAAAATAGGCCACCTCCGACTGATCAAGATGGCCACGGTACTTCAGGAAAAAAATATTGTTCTGGTATAATCTGAGGACAGAGAGGATCATCAGGTGACAGTTGCTGGAAGATGAGCGATGTGTCCCCGCGTTCTCTGACCGTGCTAGGAGTCGAACGGGGAAAGACTAAGATGAAGGAGCTGGAGATGGTGATTTAGATGGAGGAGAACGGGGGACAGCTGGAAGACGAGCAGTTAAATGTGAGTGGGAAGAGGTGGAAGAGTCGGAAGAGGAGGTAGCGTAGGAATGTGAGTAGGACGAGGTGGAAGCGTGGGAAGAGGAGGTAGCGTTGGAATGTGAGTGGGACGAGGTGGAAGCGATGGAAGATGAGCAGGAAGAGGTGGAAGCGTGGGAAGAGGAGGCGGCTTTGGGATGTGAGTAGGAAGAGGTGGGAGAGTTGGGAGCGGAGGCAGCGATGGAAGATGAGAAGGAAGACTTGGTAGAGGAGGCAGCGTTGGAAGCTGAGTAGAGAAAGCTGGGAGAGGAGGCAGAGTTGGAAAATCAAGCATCATCCGAGCTCCCAGCACCGAAGGCAAACATACCGCTGTAAACCAGATGAAACACATGAGTTTCACAGGAAACTCCCTCAGAGATCGGTACGTGGTCATCATCTTGACAGAATGCTCGACTGGATCTGTCACTTGTAATGGACCTCTGTTTGTTTTGAGTTGCTTCCTGCTCTGCAAATTGATTGTTGCTCTCAAATGCTGATGAAGGATATGGTGAAAGTAGGAAATTTATAAGGGCCGGATTAGGACTTAGGTCTATGAGTGTATAATAGGATGCGTGCTGTGAGAGTCGGGGCGGGTAGTAAGTGAGCGTATTATGGCACATGTGATCTGAGAGTAGGGCGGTTTGGTGTTCGGGCAGGAAGTTACATGTTCCTACTATGATTGAATTTGGCCTCGTCGGAAGTCTAGATATCGTGCTTGATTATCAATATTATATTGCTCAAGTGTCGTCTAGTTTTTGCAGTCAATTGTCGCTGGATAAAGTCAGATCAATAACTCTCCTTGTCAAAATCTATGGTCAAATATCACCTTAGTGTGTAATTAATTTAATAATAATAATACGTTTGATAGTAATCATACGTTTGACGTCATGAAATACTCAAGTCAGCCATGAAAGGAAAATTCATGATCATAGAGCCTTCAGGTGACGAAGAATATTATGGCCAACACCACAGGAATTTCCGTGGATATTATCAAGACTTCTAGAAATGATCAATATCCGTCCATTGTAGAGAAGATGAGCTTCAATTATATTCAAGTATGAAAGGGAGAAAATTCGATCTAGATTGCTGTCTGTTTCCTTTCGTAATTGTGGCTACTATCGGAATTGGAAAATCCGATAAATTCATAGTGTAGTCAGTCAGACTGTATCCGTCAGTGTAACACGTGTTTCATTCGTAGTATGTCCATTTAGCATTAAATTTACAATTTTATTCAGATATTATATTCCTTATTAATCTGAATCATTTCGGCAGGTTTCTATTCTCATTCATATAGGTTTTGGATTTATAGGTCTTTTGAAAATACTTGAGAAGGTCTCTACATACAATATGTACATCAAATATACCCATTTTAGCATCAAACAAGAGCTTCGGTACTCACAAAGCTGACTCCATGGTCTTTGATAGACTTGTAATGAGACTTCAAATGTAACAATAACCACAACCACTGTGAATTGATACTTACCGACAAATCTAGGATATGACAATTTCCTAATATTTGTTTAATTTCTCTTTCTGCTACTATTTATGTAATTCGGGGTAACTGTCACCAACTTTCTGAACACCCACTAGTATATTCCTTTTTTTTCCCTCATATTTTGAAAGTCTTGGAAGGCTTCACATCATACATTATTTTATTTATAAACTATAGATCAGTTTCAATATCTCAAATGTAATTAACATACACACTAGATGCAGAATAGATTATTAACAAATATAATCTTTTTCTTATTTGATTTTGACTTTTTTCTAAATTTTAACCTATACAATACTTCAAATATACCAGACAAAAATTATCTGTATCTAATTTGAAGATACCAGTAAAAGAAAAGATGTCACCTTCAGCAAAGAGGTAAAGATTTCGAGACAACAGATGGAAAAATGATTTTTACTTTTTTCTAAGATTTAGAGATAAAAAGTGACACAATACATAGAAGTCAAAATTATTTCTATACTTAAATATTATACTAAAAATAAACAGGATGTGTTCATCATATTAAAATTTCATTTGATAGATTTGAATCTCATGATAATTTTTGATCAGAGAAAATAATCTTAAAATTACAATGATTGTGGCAAAAAACTTATGTGTGTGCGAAAAACGATGTCATTGCAAGAAAAAACCATGAAAAATAAGCAAAAAATCATTAAAATATAACGTAATGATATTAAATTGTCTTGTCATGGAACTTTGTTATTATTTATTTGCAGGAAAACGCTATTAAAATGTATCAAGACTATTGACATCAAAATCTGGAATTTGTTGTCAATCAAATCAAAAAATTATTATGAGAAAGTTTATATTATAAAAATTATAGTTATAGAAAAGGTGAATCACGTATGAATGACTCGTTTCAATTTCATTTGAATGTATTATGAAGATGTACGTATTTCTATATATAACTTGATGTATGACGGTACTTCAGGGATAAAAAAATTTTAACGAAAAATCCCAAAAAATATAAATATTTATTTTGAATACAGAAAATAATTTATTTAGATTAATTTAATCCAAATACAAAATATATTAACATGCAGTTGCCTATAAAATACATGTGTAAATTGAAAATAGACAGAGCATGTTTAATTTAAAGTTGTCAAAACACACTATGCACAAAAATCCCAGTTTAATCAAAATGAGAGTTGACAGTAGTATATTTCTTAATTTTTATCTACCATATTCACAGTTTAATATTAAATAAAACTAAATGTAAACGATTCGACATTTACTTCTCCGACCCAGCGCATCTGAACTTTTATTGCTTTCGGGGTTTAAACGTTCGATTACAGGACTGAGCTTTTGAGCTCTAGTTATGAACATGTTGTAGGTTTGCTTCCACTGGATTAAAGGTCCAGTCGCTAATACCATCCGATTGAATCTTAGTTTGAGCTTCAGAGTGGCAGTATAAGAAGTTTACGAACTCTAACCGTTTCAATCGTCGGTTGACTTGAAGTTTGGGAGAATTGGAGCTCACCATCGGTGGGAAGGAGATCGAAAACTGCGCAGGGTATGTATCCACTTCTCTTGATAATAGCAGTCTCATTCATCTGCGCTTCATCTTATGCATCAAGGATTCGTGAACTGAACGGAACCATATGCAGGTATTCACTGGAATACGAACAGGTGTACAATGTTGTGTGCATCGAGTGATGAGCAGGGGTCAAAGGAGCAAATTTTTTTTTATCCGCACGACTCAGAGGGAATGAGAATCCTCCGATATTCCTAAATTTTCATGTGGAGATTTTCAGATGAAACAGCACTCATCGTTCCGAGTCAATTGACTCGTTCAAGACGAAACGGACGGGAGAAAAGATCTGACTACCAGATTAAAATAGCGTGAGCTTGATCTTAACAAATATTTCAGTTGGAACAACTGAATAAGTCGAAAAAATCTTAACATTGGACTTACAGGAAGAACAGATTTAGAACTACTCAAAATCCTGAATTGGAATCCACCAGAGTATCCACAACACTTTCAAAAATGGGAGGGTAATCCGAAATAAGATATGGCCTCTATTGCTTGATCAAAAATGGTACCCAACGAAATATATTTTTTCATCAACGTACATGTTGTCCCTGTACAGATACGCTGATTTGCTGAGTGCCGTGAACCATAATTATTCATTTTCTATCTGGTTTGATTACCATGGCACTAAAAACATTACACTGCTTATTTGTCTCTGATCAGGTCCATATTTGTAGAGACTAAGCGCTTTAATTTAGATTCTGCGTCACCAGTAAGAGCAGAAAGTATATCGCGCTTCCAGGATACTAGAGACTGGATGCCTTGAACAACCATTGTCAGCAGTAGAACACATCAGTCCACCTCCGACCGACGAGACTGATCGAGATGGCTAAGAAAATTCAGGAAGTACTAATTGTTCTGGTAGAAGCTGCGGACAGAGAGGATCACCCGATGACAGTTGCTGGAAGATAAGTTTTGTCTGACCGTTTTAGAAATCCGAACGGGGAAAGATCAAGATGAAGGAGCTGGAGATGGTGATTTAGATGGAGGAGAACGGGGGACAGATTGAAGACGAGCAGTTAGATGTGAGTGGGAAGAGGTGGAAGAGTCGGAAGAGGAGGTAGCGTAGGAATCTGAGTAGGACGAGGTGGAAGCGTGGGAAGAGTTGGGAGAGGAGATAGCGTTGGAATGTGAGTGGGACGAGGTGGAAGCGATGGAAGATGAGCAGGAAGAGGTGAAAGCGTGGGAAGAGGAGGCGGCTTTGGGATGTGAGTAGGAAGAGGTGGGAGAGTTGGGAGCGGAGGCAGCGATGGAAGATGAGAAGGAAGACTTGGTAGAGGAGGCAGCGTTGGAAGCTGAGTAGAGAAAGTTGGGAGAGGAGGCAGCGTTAGTATATGAGTAGAAATCGTTGGGAGAGGAGGCAGAGTTGGGAAATCAAGCAACATACGAGCTCCCAGGACCGAAGGAAAGCATATCGCCGTGAAACAGATGAAACTCATGAGTTTCACTGGAAAGTCCCTCAGAGATCGATACATCGTCACCATGTTGATAGAACGCCGGACTGGATCTGTCCTTTGTTTCGAGTTGCTTCCTCCTCTGCAAGCTGATGACGGATATGCTCAAAGTAGGAAGCTTATAAAGCCCGATTGGGACTCAGATCTGTGAGATTATTATGTCAGGCCGGATATGACAGTCAGGGCGGGTGGGCAGTTCCGTAGTAAGTTACACTTTCCTACCATGAGCAACGACATTCGATCGTTTCGGAATTCTAGAGCCTGAATCTGCGGACCGAAGTGATGGACCTTAGAAGTCGTGCTGGTTTATCAATATTATATTGCTTAGGCGTCGTTTGGTTTTTGCAGTCAATTGTTGCTGAATAATGTCAGATCAATAACTGCACATGTCCAAAACTTTTGTCAATTATCACTTGAGCGTGTAATCTATACATATGAGCAATAGCGACGGAGATTGGTTTTTTTGTTTTCTTTCGTGATTGTGGGTAATTCGGAAGGGTAGATGGTTACTCAAGGTAATGAGTAGATTATTATTCTATGAGCTTCTTATTCGAATTTTTTCCTGTCAAATTTGAAAAGGTATTGAGCATATCATGTTACGATATCCATCTTTGAAGAAATTTGGAAATGTCTCTTTAGATGGGCTAGTTATCACTAAGTTTGGGTCATTATCAGTCACACTAGGCTAATGTGCACTAGTTTTGCTATTTCCTGAGCCCCCGCAAAGACTATATATCACATAACTCTAGTAAACATAAAGATAGCTCTAACCAATCACAGAGTTCTAATCTGTATAGAATAGTAGTGTGAGGGATAATTAGTCCAAACTTAGTGATGATTGGACTCTCACTCATACAATAGATATATCAACTCTACCCATATCCATGCCAGCATTGATCAAGACCTTCCCTACTGAAAAAAAATGTACATACCTTCCGTGTTTTAAACTACAGCGCCGAGAAAAGAGATACAACAACACCAGCGAGTATAAAAATGTGCA